ATGTTATTAGTTGAATAGTGTCATCCAAAAAGTTTAAAGGAGACAGACACTTAGATAAATAAGTGCATTTATTATTGGCAGATCGGAATGTGCGATAGACTCACCTCCACGTGGTGCACTCTGGGCAACGTATACTCATACGACAAAAAAGTCTATTAACCGGCAGTTGACTTCTGACTACTCAAACGGCAAAAAAGTCTATAAACCGGCAGTTGACTTCTGACTGAAAAGGTCTATTAACTGGCAGTTGACTTCTGACTTCAAATAAAAGTCTATCAATCGGCAGTTGACTTCTCACTTCAAACTAAAGTCTATTACCTGGCAGTTGACTTCAAACTACCATGAGTAAGTCTATTAACTGGCAGTTGACTTCTGAGTTCAAACTATCATGACCCCAAGTCTATTAATCGGCAGTTGACTTCTGACTTCAATTACCATGATCTATTAACTGGCAGTTGACTTCTCTATGTCATATTCGGGTCTATCGGCAGTTGACTCCTGACTTCAAACTACCAAGACCCCACCGCATTTCATATTCGACTAAGTAAACAGTCCAAGACCCCACCGCATTTCATATTCTACTAATTCCACAGTACTCACCTTTTTTCTATCTTTGTGTCTGTTTGCCTCTTTTACGTCTGTGAATCATTATTCTGTTCCCCCTCTCGACCTCTTGCCACTTTGGTGTTCCTCTTCCTTTCTGTGAAGCCCGAAGTCAACTAATGGCTAATGATACCTATCATAACGCCGGAAGTCAACTAAAGGGCTAATGATACCTATCATAACGCCTGATATTTGTGAAACAAATAAATATTTGATTGCAATGTTTCCATTTAATCTGCAGTTTCACAATAAGAAGGAATTGACACATTTAGGTATTTAAATTGGTAATAAGGAACAAAATAGTGTGTTTAATTGAACTGTTTAGCTATTAAATAGTGAGTTTGAAGTGCATTTTGGTAAGTTACTTTATAAATAGCGTAAACTAAAATTATTGTAATACAATAATAATTACAGAGGTGGGTGGCGAATTATCAACTAGAACTGAGCAAAATGGGAGTTTATCTTAATTTGTTTTAATTAATTTTCTTTTTAGTGTTTAGTGTGTTGCGCATTTAGATCATATCAGGAAAGGAGGTAAGGCAACAATGGTGAGTTGGGCTGCAAAAGTACTGAGAAAGGCTATTATTGATTTTTATAGCTTTAATAATAAGTTAAATTAGTGCAATAATTGGGACCATAAAAAAGCATTTCCAGTATATCAAGTGAGGTTTTTTAACAAAATTTGACTCAAATAGTGTCTGTCTGTCCCTTTTACGTCTGTGAATCATTATTCTGTCCCCCCACCTCGACTTTTTGCCACTTTGGTGTTCCTCTTCCTTTCTGTGAAGTCCGAAGTCAACTAAAGGGCTAATGATACCTATCACAACGCCTGCCATTTGAAATAAATAAATAAATATATTCTAGAGTTGGTAGTTTTTGCCCTCTATAATTTTTTTTTTTCTTACAGATTTTGTCCATGGCTCCGGGATTGGCAGGTCTGGAGATAGTTCCATTCCGTGTAGCTGCTTACAATAAAGCTCGGGGAGAAATGGAATTGTTCGATCCAACTCGAGCCGATGAATTCATCTTTATTTCTGGCACAAAGATGAGAGCACTGGCGAAGGCGGGAGAACAACCGCCCGATGGTTTCATGTCACCCTCCGCTTGGAAAGTTCTGGCGGAATTCTACGCCAGTCAACAGCAGCAACAACCACACAAATCAGGAGATAATATGACTACTGGCTAAATGGACACGACAAATGGCTTTCTTTATCTTTTCAAAAAAATATAACATTATGAATTCATGGCATTAAGAGGCCGACTTTGATTGTATTTGCTTACGATAAATGCGTTTTGTAATATAAGGCAGAACTTCTGATGGGAATATATTTTCTTTTACTAATTTCATGTCAGCATGCGAAAGATTACTTGTTTGTTATTGGAATATTAGCAGGTTTACAGCAGGTAATTCATTTTTTTGTCAAAATCAACGAGTTAAAGCACGCGATACTTTCTTTTGCAATGGAATGATCTCGGTTTGAAACAGGAAATTGAATAATCACATCAATCTGTAGTTTACTGAAAGCTGTGGCACTGGGGTTACAATTCAGGAAAATCATGGTATTTATACGACAACGCCCACACATCTTTGTGCCCTAACATATCTTCTGAATGGCTATGTGCATCCATAAAGTGGGTGGTTTTAGATAATGAAGATATCCTCAAGTGTGGTCCTTTCTAATCGTTCCGCTAAATTGCCTTTAAGTAAATGTGAGATGAAAATGCTACTTCCCTATTTTCGTTGATATGTGATTTTGTTTGAACAAAAGATGATAGCACCTCTTGACCAAAATAAAATTCCACTGCTTTCTAGAATTTAATCGTGGGAAGCATTTATTTATTTTTATCAAATGACAAGCTTCACAGAGGGAGGGGGAAACATCAAAGGAACAGAAAGTCGAGGGGTGGGGAACGGAAGTGTGATTCACAGTTGTAAAAGAGATGGACATAAAAGTAGAAAAGGTGAGGTGAGTACTGTGGAAGGAGTCGAATATGACACAGTAAGTGGGATGATGGTAGTTTAAAGTTCGAAGTCAACTGCCGGTTAATAGACTTTTTTGCCGTATGATTTTACGTTGTCCAGGTTGCACCACGTGGATGTAATTCTATCGCGCACCCCATGGTGAGAAGAAAGGCTTAACTTTAACTAATCAGCAGAATTAATAGAACCACGTAATCGTCTTATCACTAAGTTAAGCCACTTAGTGAGCTTTCTTCATTGAAGCAGGCATATGGAATGTGTCGCCTTAGACTCAACTCTAATTGGCACCTCGATTGAATTGACGCATTCTGATATTTTCAAGTAGGTTGACTTTGGCTACACAGGGGGTTAATGTGTTGCCGGCATAGTAATATGACTCTTTAAAAATACCATAATTTGCATAATATTGAGAGCATCTTGCCAACAATGTAATGACAGATGCCATGTAATTCATCACTTCACTAAGAAGACGAAAGTGGCATCGTTTGCTCAAATTATGAAGAACCCCATTTGATTTCCCAGCTTGTGAATGGAAATAATGCAGCAGAATTCGTTCTCAGATAGGAGAGTGGTGAATTGTTTATCCGTAGAGCAGGAAAGAATGGCGGTTTCCAAGTGTGAAAGTGTTCAGTGAGGTAAAACACGTATTACGGTTTATTTACTCAGTTAAGGCGTAAGTGACATTGACAGAGGTACCAATGTAACGATTGATCACATGCAAGTAGACATGTTTATTCATCCAATTAAATGAACGATATGAGCGTATAGAATTTCAACAATTGCATACATTAAAAATGTTCTTCTTTTAAATGAGCAATGTTTATTCGTTAGTTTGAAATAACATAGAGTTCCCATTTCGCCGCTTCAGTAAAAATTTTTTTGTTCTTTTTCTCTCAATTTTTATAAATATGAGGGAACTTGAATTAAATATTTGTGCGAGTTCAACGATAAGTCAAAGGGCCATTCATCTAATTCAATTAGTAAATGCAGACCACCAAAGTGGCCTTTTCCATTCCCGAAGCCAAATTCATTCTATCAAAAGTACCATATAATATGACATTGAAGCTACTTTTAACTCCTGAAAATAAAATTGCAGTTAGTATAAAAAATTATCGCTAAATCACTCATGGTAAGGTGCTTAGACAACTTATGAGACAAACTTTGCTTTCTCTTTAAAGCATATCTAAATTGCTTGTGCTCTAATAAGCATCTGACCTTGTGCTTTTTGTTTAAATTCATATCATCTCTTATGTTCATATTGGCGGAAATTGAACCCAGCACTATAAGAAATGCTTTGCCTTTGTTGCTTTTAGAACTCCGGGAATTAATTTTGGGCCCACAGTAAATAGTCGGGCAAAACTTCAAGTACTTCCATTTGCCTTTTCATAACATTTCGATAGAGCTCGATAAATATTTCGAGTTTATTATCCTTTTAAATATGTGCGTGGGTGTACTTTCTGAAACCATTCAACGGCTACACATAGGAGGTAAGAAATGATTTGAAATCCCAGTGTCTAAATTTTAGTACATAAAATTTCAAGGAAAATGGAACTCTGCTGTGATGCCTTTGTTCCATAATAGTAGGTACTGGATTGTCGTTCAGTTATAAGTATTCAGATAAATAGGCAAAATGGTTATTCGATCTGTTCGCAAATTTTAAAATTCAATAAGTTGGTAGGATTTGCAATCGAAACGGCACAGAATGACCTTAAATTTATTAGTAACCACCAAGTTGATAGAGATCAGCTCAAATTAATGATTTGTGGAAAGCAACTTTAAAGGAGGCCTACTTTAAGCCTTATAAATAGCCTAAATAGAAACTATATACACTTTTTGTCACTTTAATTTAGAATAAATTGATTAATGATTAAATACTAATAAGTAATGCTACAGGTACAGGATATATTCAAGTGAAAATGATATCAACTTCTGAGATCAAAGGCAAAAATTGGAATTTTAGCCTACATAGCGACACTTTGTGTTTAGTATTCTGGGGTGGGCGGTAGACTTACCTCCACGTGGTGCACCCTGGGCAACGTTTACTCATACGGCAAAAGAAGTCTATTAATCGACAGTTGACTTCTCGCTTCAAACTACCATGACCCCACTGTAAGTCATATTCCACCACTTCCACAGTACTCATCTTACCTTTTCTCTACCTTTGTGTCTGTCCCTTTTACATCTTTGGAACACTCTTCTATTCCCCCTCTCTCGACTTTTTTCACTTTGATGTTCCCCCTCCCCTCTGCGAAGCCTGAAGTCAACTAAATGGCTAATGATAACTATCAAAACGTCTGCCATTTGATATAAATAAAAATAAATATTTAGTATTCTTGTCGAATGCCTGAATCTACGTCTAGCCTGAAACGCATGGGCTTATTCTCACTGATAATATTTGGGTTTAAATATGGAGTCATTTTATTATTCATTCCAATAACTGGCCACCAAGCGACAAGATCTTTTTGATTGGAGTCAATTTGCATGCCCATGAAAAGTAAAATAATTACAGGAGTATAAAGGGTAGTACACTTAAAATGCGATTTTAAAATGGAGAATCCGAGCACAAATAAGGTGAATTAGTTACCGCTCAGCTTTCGTTAACTAGTGACAAGTGGAGCTTAGATACGGTGACAACTTTTAAATAATGCAAAGTAAAAAGACTGCAGATCTTGTCTTAGTAGCGCTGAATTCGCTTTTTTTCTCGTAAGCGGTCTAAATGAAAGGGTATTGCCAGAGTGCTCATAGATAATTCACCAGCTCAATTGAAACCCCTTACCCTCTATGATTACTTTTGAATTTAATGGGCCGTGATTATGTGCATCTGTGATTTGGTAGTAGCAGGCAAATTATAGGTCTTGCCGAAAAATGAGTGTGAAGTTAGGAATATGACTGTTGCTGACGTTTCAAACGTATACCACATATTATGCGCAATTTTGTTTTGTTTATTAAAACGCGTGAGAACTACTTTTCATGAGGTATTGTTCAAAATAGGGGTAGAATCAACCCCTAGAAGTATCTTATCAGACGCGTATTTGAGTTCCGATTTTTTCGTCCAGCCTGAAAGCTGAGAGTGAGTCCAACAGACATTGTAAATTGGTTTTATTTTCTTTGCTAAATGCGGGACACAATAGATCCGCTATCGAAGGAGAATTAGAGGTCATTAGGATACTACTAAGCCAATTGTGTTGCTTGGATACGAAATTCATCAAACCAGTAATGCTTTCGAATTCACAGTCAGCAATAAACTCAATTTGAAAGAGAGAGCCGCCACAAAACAACTGTATCAGCTGCTGAGAGAGATAGACAAAACAGTGGCCCTGCAATGGATTCTGGTCACTGCGGCATTAAAGGCAATGAGCTTGCTGACGCACTTGCTAAGAAGGGGATAACAGTTTTGCAAGGCATGTACCGGTCGATGTCTTTCCACACAATGAAGACCTTAAACAGGAGGGAAATGAAAACCTCAAGGTGCAACGGACTTAAAGCTCGAACAAAGGAGAAACAGTGGACAGTGGCACTCTTCGACATAACCGAGTGGCTAAGAATTGAAGCCGTTTCTGAGTTTAGACTGCGTACCGGACACGACTGCATGGAGAAGCACCTTTACAGATTAAGAGTGTACACTCAACCCACATGCCCCTGTGTATACTTTTTTCAAATTATCTTATATTTTCCAATTGATTTTGAAAAGCCCAAATAGTGTTACTAGCTATAATGTCTGATTAAATTTGGGAAAAAACTGTTTGCGAACATGAAGTAAAAAAGGCTTTTACCATATCAACAGTGAATTTGGCAATACCGATTGAAATTGGAGATCCATTAACTATTGAAGATTTCGGAAACGTTATCTAATTAATGCAAGGTTTCTCCAATATGATTGGCACTAATTCTTCCGAAGAAATCACTTAACGTTGTATTTTGTAATACATTAATTTCAGTGGAATATTTGCGAATGCATTAATGGTGGTTGTGCTAAACTGATGCATTTATTTGAAAGTAAAAATAATTTCGTAACTTTGAAATCATTAAACGCTTAAAAGTTATGCTTTAATAAATCATATTGTAGTTTAATTAGTCTCCTAAAGTAAAATTAATTTTATTTTTTAAAAATCTGAAAAAATATCTTCGCCTGGATTTTCAACGAGGGGATTAAGACAATGAACTCTAAAATCGACCGCTATTTTTAAATATTTTTTTGTTTGAATTGCATGAACAAGTTTCCCTCCTGTTTTTACTGACAGTGATAAGTTATCTGGAATGTTTTTATTGATGAGGATTTAGTCATTATTACTATAAATATTTCAAAATGCTGCGATTGACTTGTGGAAGTATTGAAAAATGTCTTCTATATAGGCTTCACTCTCTTTATTTCCAAAAGTTTCTCATCACCTCATTAAAATCCACCGCTCAACATTTCCGCTGGATTAACGAAATTTGATGTTCAAAAGTGATCTGATAAACATCCATAAAATTTTGAGAAAGAACTATAATTTAAAAAAAATTATATGAAAAAATAATTACGACCGTTGAAGCGGACAATATTGGACATTTGAGTAGATGCACTTGACAATAACAATTAATGCTAATTAATTACCATATATGTATTATCATGTAATACGTTGTTCATGTCAATTACTGTTAATGAATGGACGAATTAGCGGACTGGCGGATTTTTACTTTCCAAAAAATTAACCAATTATGTAATATAGTCAAAATTCAATCATTAGATCATGAAGGAATAGTAAAAATAATTTGATTCACCTCAAGTAAACTTGAAATTAAATGTAAATAAAAGAATGGATTTCTCAAAGTTAGTCCGTCAGCGATTCAGCAAAAAGGACAAAATGTTATATGCTAATTTAAATAAGAAAAGTCTTAATATTTGAAATCGCATGCACTCTATAGTGTCCCATGAAGAAAATGGCATTTATAAAGACCTGTCAACATTTATTTATTTAGTTAAAATGGTAGGCGTTTTGATAGTTATCACTGGTCCTTTAGCTGACTTCGAACTTCACAGAGGGAAGGAACATCATAGGAAGAAAACTTTGAGAGAGTGAAAGTAAGAGGCAGAGGAAAGGTAAGGTGTGGTGAGTACTGTGAAAGTAGTCAAATATGAAATATAGTGGGGTGATGGTAGTTTGAAGTCAGAATTCAATTGGGGATTAATAGACTTTTTTGCCGTATGAGAATACGTTGCCCAGGGTGCACCACGTGGAGGTGAGTCTATCGCGCATCCCAGACCTGTCAGCATACAATGTATAATTTGCCACTTCATTTGGCCAGTTGGGTAATTCCGAATTGCTAAATTATTAACTGGGGACAGACAGTCATAATTAGACTGATAGGCATGAAATATTATCTTTTATTTATTGCAAAATTCGTTACATTAGTAGATTACTAGCATGAACAAATGTATCAGTTTTGCCAAAAGTGCAATGAAACCTAGTGCTAATCTTGTATTAACTGAAATAGTTCTGAATTAAATGTGCTAAAACTTTACTAGATTGTAAAATGCTACATTTCCAGACGAATATATGATTTTCAAAATCGTTTTAATATATCTGGCTTCCCCCAATCGATTAGCCGTCTTCTTGCTTCCCAGTATCTCTGGCTTTCCGTCGCTGTCTTCTGGGCTGGACACCGAACCAGATGGGTCTTCTCCATTTCCTCCTGTAGGTTACATAGGAGCATGTGGGTTGAGTGTATACTCCCAATCTGTGAAGATGTGTACATGTGAGTTGAGTGTATACTCCCAATCTGTGAAGGTGTTTATAGGCAATCGTGTTCGGTACGTAGTCTAAACTCATCAACGGCTCAGCAACGGCTTCGATTCTTAGCCAGTCGGCTATGTCGGAGAGTGCCACTGTCCACTGTTTCCCCTTTGTTTCCACTGTCCACTGTTTCTCCTTTGTTCGAGCTTTGAGTTCGTTGGTATGGTCTGGAATTCTCTCCTGATTAAGGCCTTCATTATTGAGGTCGGGAATTCTTTTCTGATTAAGGCCTTCATTGTGTGGGAAGACCCCGGTCCACCATGCCGTCCCCTTCTTAGCAAGTGTGTCAGCAAGCTCACTATCTTTAATGCCACAGTGACCAGAATCCATTGTAGGACCACTGTTTTGTTTTTCTCTCTCAGCAGCTGATAGAGTTTTCTACATTCCTTTACCTCAGCTGTTTTGGGTGGCTCTCTGTTTCCAATTGAGTTTATTGCTGACTTTGAGTTCGAAAGTATCACCGCTTTGGTGAATTTCGTATCCAGGCAACATAATTGGCATAGTGTTATCCTAATGGTTTCTATTTCTCCTTCGATAGCGGATCTATTGTGTTTCGCTGCTGTGTAGAAAGAGAAGAGTTCAGAAAAGACACCTGCACCAATTTTTGCTTGGTTTTCTATGTAAGACCCATCAGTGAAGACTTAGGGCCATTTATCTCCAGGATAGTTGACATTGATTTTTTCAAGGGCCAGTGAGCGCATTTGCTCTGAAGGGGTGTTTGAAAGGGCCAGTGAGCGCATTTGCTCGGGAGGAGTGTTTGATAATATCATTGTCTGCTTATTCCAGCAGTTGGGTGCATCACACTACATCAGTGTCTGCTAATGGGATCATGGGGGGAGAGAGAGGCTTTTTGGTTTGTCATCGATCTGTAATGCTTCCTTCAGTTCTATGGCTTTCTGTATTAGACCAGATTACTCATGGGTGCTGAAGAACTTATCCATGGGAATGTACAGTATTTGCAGCTTGCGTTTTCAGATGTCTTGGTCTATTCTCATAGGTGCTGGAAGAACTTATCCATGGGAATGCGCAGTAGATTCTCATACATTGTCCAATGAGTGCGCAGTAGTTTCTCATACAGGATCAAGGCCTTTTCAGGCTTAGTAGCTTCTCATACAGCATCAAGGCCTTTTTTTGATAAAGAAACATATTGTGGTGCTTCCTGTAACTAGGAGCATTGCATCAATAGGTGTTGATTTTATCCCTCCAGTAATTAGTCGTAATGCTTGGTTGTGTGCCTTCTCGAGTGGTTTGAGAGTCACCTCTGTGGCTGTAATGAGTGGCTCACAGCAATAGAACATTATTGGCTGAATAAACATCTTGTAAGTGATGTTCAGAGTTGAGCGTGCACAGCCCCATACGCTGCCAGCAAGACGCTTCAGTACATTCAGTGTATTGGAGCTTCGTTCTGCTATTTAAGCAATGTGGCTTTTCCACATTAGCTTGGTGTCAAACGTCATTCCGAGATATGTGAACTCATTGGTTCTTTCTAGGGTAGTATCCTTTTACCTTAGAAGTAGGTTTATGCTGTGACGGGCCAAAGAAAAAGTTTTGAATGCAGTTTTCGCGATGTTAATTGCCATTCCATTGTTGTCGCACCAGTTTGCTAGTAGTTTAAGTGCATAATTTAGGGCACTTTCTGTCCTCTTCTGAGCGTTTTTCTTAGTTTGGGGGCTTTCTGTCCTCTTCTGAGCGTTTTTCCTAGGGGCGGAATCAAGTTTGCTAGTAATTTAAGTGCACAATTTAGGGCACTTTCTCTGAGCGTTTTTCTTAGAAGCGGAATACCATAGAACACGATCATTTGCATAAAGTAAGCACTTAACGCCCGTGACTGTCTGTACCAATTCGGTTATGTCAATGATGAAGACATTGAAAAGAGTGCAGCTTGTGACAGCTCCCTGTGGAAGGCCTGTTTGTAAAAGATCGGATTTTGATAGAGCATTTCCGTATCTGACTTTACACGATCTTTGTCCAATGAATGCTTTTATCCAGTTTAGCATGTTATGCTTAATACCAATCTTTGCCAATTTTAGAATTAGCTTCTCTTTCCATACAAATTCATATGCTGATTTGAAATCGACGAAAACAGCCGAAAGGGTATTTTTTGCATTAAGGGCATCTTTGATGTGTCGGGAGAAAGTGGCTACTTGTTGGTTCGTTGATCTTTGTGGCCTTAAACCTGCTTGTTTACTCCTAAGGATATTGTTGGTCTCAAGGAACCAGGTCAGCCTCCTGTTAACCATTCTTTCCATAAGTTTAGCCAGAACGCTTGTGAGGAAGATTGGCCTATAGTTGTCAAAATTGATAGGGTCTTTGCCCTTTTTAGTACTGGTATTACTAAGCCAACTATCCATTGGTTAGGTACGAGACTGGTCTCCCAGATTTTGTCGAAAAGCGTCAGCATGGTTTCCTTGGCTTTTGGTCCCATTCTAATAAGAAATTCCGGATGAATACCGTCTTCGCGAGGAGACTTCTTGCACTTTAGCTGTTTTATGGTTCAGTAAGTACGTTATATGGTGTTGCTATGTCTTCCTTAATTTCACCAAACTGTCTTACTTGTATTTTTAAATCTCTTGAAGATTTCTGACAAAAGGGTTTTTCTTCTGCTTGTGGGAATAGAACCTAGCAAAGCAGTTAGCTATTTCGGAGTCGGTGAAAAGCAATTTTCTGTTTAACCGTATTGGTTCTTTCTTGGGTCTTTCCTTGTTGTTTTGGAGGTTACCCAGGAATTTGAAAGTGCGTTGGCTATCACTTTATAGTTGATATTTGAGATGAACTTGTCGAAGGAAGTCCGTTTAGCTTGTAAGATGGCTTGCCTTAGGACAGCTGATTGACGTCTCCAGGCTTGTACGTCTTCCGTTCTTCCAGTCTGATCAACAGTGTTGCAAATGGCATCCCGCTTTCTTTTCAGTTCCTCAAGGTGTTTAGACCAAATCTCTTTCTTTTCAGTTCCTCAAGGTGTTTGGACCAAAACAGCTTTCTTTTTAGTTCCTCAAGGTGTTTAGACCAAAACACTATCTTTTCAGTTCCTCAAGGTGTTTAGACCAAAACACTCTATAGTGATTAGTCTTGCCTCTGGAAATAGTTTTCTTTGCACATCTAATCATAATATTCGTGGGTACACAGTTTATCAGGATGTTGGTTGAAGTTGAGGGGACTTGGTAGGAATGTTGGTTGAAGATGAGGGGACTTGAATAAATTTCATCCCGTGGGGACTTGTGTGAAGTTCATTCTCCAAAAGGTTTGTGTAGGGGACTATATTATGAACATTATCGGTTTGATTTCAATTCACAATTGGTCAAAAGACTAGGAAAAATCTTTTACTTACTACTGACCTCTTTTAATATTATTTGTGCAACCACACAAATCATCCTATCAATTACTAGGGATCACAAACTCGACTCAATGTTTTATCGATTTAATCGAAGTAATATTGACTATCATTTCATTCTCTGAAGATCTAATGGTCTTCCCACTTCAACCGGGGGAGGGGACTGTTTTTAACTGTTTTATCATTTAGCAGACCTCTAGTTACATTATGGGACATGTGGTTAAATTTCATCCGACTCTTAAAGTACCCTTCGAGTGCCTCAAATTTGATGAAGTGGTGAAGGAGGGGGGTGGGGGAGAAGGGGGATGTAGGAGAGAAAGGAATAGGCGTAAGTTTTATTATTATTTTATTTTATTATTTATTTATTTATATCAAATGGCAGGCGTTTTGATGGCTATCATTAGCCCTTTAGTTTACTTCAGGCTTCATAGAGGGGAAGGAACATCAAAGTGTAAAAAAGTCGAGAGGAGGGGAACTGAAGAGAGTTTCAAAGACGAAGGTTGAAAATTTAGAAAAAAATGTGATGTATTACTGTGAAAGTGGTCGAGTATGTCATACAGTGTGGGGGATGATAGTTTGAAGTCAACTGCCGGTATGAGTATACGTTGCCCAGGGTGCACCACGTGGAGGATGGTGATGACTCAGGTAATGGCACACGCTGACTCATTGCCTTACTCAGTCCTACAATGCATTGGGCTTCTTCTGTCACATACCCTTACCCCAACTGTTAAAAGTTGATCAACTTCCTTATCATTACCCCATTTTATCTGTTCTTTAAAATTGGGATTGTCCACCCTCAGAACCCTACCTTCCCTCCCCC